CCCCGACGCCTGCCTCCGCGCCCCCGCCCGCCGCGCAGCCGGCTCGGCTCCGGGGACAGGGGGCTCCAGCTCCTGCGCCCTCGTGGGGCCTCCGGGCCTGGGGCAGGAAACGGTTCTCTGAGACACACGCCCCTCTCTCCCACCCTCCTGCCGAGCTGAGGGCTTTCCAGTCCCCTACCTACCATAAAAGCTGGAGAAGGCTGATGGGGTCCCTCAAACGCTGCCCACGTCCAAAGTCAGTCTTGCTTGGGGTCACCTCCCACCGGGTCGCAGCCAGGGAAAGGGAAGAGGACACTGGAAGTGCCTAACCTGCCCCCTAGTGGCATAAGGAAGGAGCCTTCAGGTGGGCCCACACAGCTCTGGGCAAGGGGGTGCAGCAGGGCTGAGGGGACAAGACCAGATGCAGGGCCTTGGGTGCTGCCAGCATCCTCCTTACCGGGCTTCCTCCGAACTGGGGCTGTCACCTCAGGGGCCATCACATCCTTTCCTCTCCCCTCCTTCCACCAGGAAAAATAAAACAGCGCCCTGCAAGGTTGGCAGGTCCTGACTGAAGGAGCCTCCTGCTGCCCCCAGCACACTTTGCTGCCACCACAGGTGGGAGGCAGGCTCAGCCAGCTTGTTAGAGCTCAGGGCCAAAGGCTCAGACTTGAAGGAGGGACAGACAGATTTCAACACTGCCTAAGGCTCTGCATCTCCAGGCTGGGACCCTCCCCCACTCCCAGTAGCAGCCAAACCAGCAATATACCCGATAGACGCAGGGCGACAGATGCAGGGCCGCTTAGGGAGATGGTGTGGACCCCCATATACAAGATGGATACCCCAGCACCTGGAGTAAAGCATCCCAAAGCCAAATGCCCAATTGTGTCCTATCTGCAGCCTGTACCACAGGATGGTATTAACTGGCCAGACAGCAGAATTTGTCATCTATCACCTTGTGGTAGCAAATGTGGCCATGCCTAGGTATTACCACCTACATGACACAACTACCCCTGGACAGCTGGGACAAATGCCAGAGCCATGAAAGCATGGCACTCCTTGACCAGCCTCTCCTGAAGGTCTTGGCTATGGGTCTTGGGGGGTTGCATGGGTACAGAGGTCAAACATCTACCCCTTCCCCATCCCTAAGCACCAAAAGTGGTTCTGCAACCTATGTTCCCATGCTGCTAAGGTCAGACTTCCAGAGTGGAAACCACTTGCTCCATAGACTTTCCCCACCATTCTGCTCTGAGAACAAGACATCTCCAGCCCAGTATCTTAACTGGAGATAGGTCCAAAAGGGGAGTCTGGTTGGGGGCAGCAGGCGTTTTCCTCCAGGGAGACCATAAAAGTCCCCAGGGCTTGCAGTCACTGTTTCTGTCACCTTCCCCATGGGAAGGAGCCTTAGATAGGTGGAGATGAAGTGGAGGAGGCTCAGGTAGAAGCCACAGGGGTAGGCCTTCCCAGGTACCCTTAGTGCTGACCAGCACAGGCACAGCTCAGAGATCAATTCCTGACACTATGTCAGGGTGAAGCCAACTTCAGCAGACAGGAACCACAGCGGGGGAGAAGTTATCCATTGGAGCCTGATATCCCCAGGTCAGTTGTTCCCATTTCTGCAGCCAGGGCCTTCATTTGGCCTCAGTACATATGACCCTATAGACCTCTGCTTCTACAGGGAACCTAGTGTGTACCATTCACCAGCCTCTTTCTGCATCTGCGGAAACCAAGACTGGAGGCAGTGAGGCTACTACATTCACCTGGCAATAAATAAGGTCTTTCGTACACTCGAGGGCATGTCCTCCTCTGGGGCAGAGTATATGCCTTGCTGAAGGGCAGATGGTGGCAAGCACCTCCCTCAACTGTTTCCCCTGGGCCAGTCTTTAGGGAGCCAAGTGACAATGGTCCATCCCCTCCCCTCCACGTGTGCCAAAGTAGCACCTGAAGTGAAGAATTTCCAGGAGGCAACTCCACAAACCCAAGAAAGGGCTCCAGTGGAAATGCTAGGATTCCAGCACCCCAGGTCCCCCGACTGGGCAAGGACAGCCAGCTGCATGTGACCCACCATCTGTGGCCAGCTCCCTAGGCATCCCTCCCACGTCACCCCAGCCTCAAGACACTCAACTGATGGACTGAAACTGCAGGTGCCCAGCTTTGGGAGACCCTGAGCCACATCAGGTCTAAGTTCTCCTAGTGCCCTGGCAAGGTTTCTTTTTTTTCTCTCTCTCCTTACATTTTCTACTTTGCAGCCTTTTCTTTGACGGTATTCCCAAACAAGGTTATCACAGCTCCAGTCCACACCAGCATAACAGGCTTCCTCCCCAGGGCAGTTTAGAGGAAGCTCTTCTGGGCACGTTCAGGTGGTTCTCTTTCCCGTTTGTCCCCTGGCCTCAATGGACTCTGGCTGAGGGAGGTGTGGAGGGTCCTCAGGCTTCCCTCCCCCACCCTACCTCCACTAGCACCCCCAACAGGAGGCCTGTGGAAGGCTCAGCTTCTCCTCCACACCACTCCTCCTTCCTGCCTATCAGAAGGCAACCAGGGTCCCCTAGGCTGGTCCTGGATCCCCTTCCTCCCTCAGTGGGAGAGGGCAGAGATCAAGAGGAGGAAGAGGCCAGCAGACCATATGGCTTGGTCCCTTGGACAAGTAAGCTCAGGGAGGACACAAGGAAGGAGGTGGCTGAAGAGGAACGCAACCCCATTGGGCACAGACCATGCAATCTGGGGCTGGCCCTGGGGCCAGCTGGGCTTTGTCCTCCACCTGCTCAAATGTGCTTCCACCAACCAGAGGAAACCCATTTACTAGTTTTTCTAATAAATCAATAATGCTCCATATTTGTTTATTTGACTAGCCTCATTTCCCTTGAACTGAGCCTGGGGGTGGGGGGGACCCATGGAGACAGAGGGACAGCCAGACTCTCTGGCTTATCCCTGGGACTCTTATGGGATAACTGCACGTAGGTCCTGAGCCTCAGTAGAGACCCTGAGAAAAGCTTGCTCATTCGTGCATTCAATCAACTTGAAGCCCAGCTGCACAGCAGAATCATCTCTAAACAAAGATCGATCTGGGCTTTTCCCCACAGAGCCCAGGAAAGAGATCTCAGTCCTCACTGGACGGCAGAATCACCAGAATCACTGTGCCCGGGATTCACCTCCGGAGGGGCAGTTTCACTTGGTCTGGGCGGATGGAAAGCGGCCACTGTATTTTCTTCAAAAGGCTCCCCACGTGATTCTTTCAGGCAGCCAGTGAGAACGGCTAACCAGGCCCAAGTTCCCCAGACATACCTCGATGGTCTTATAAGGATCACCTGGGGAAGAGGTTCACTACAACTTCCTAGGCCCTACCCCCTGAAGAGTCCCAGACAGGGAGTTTGAGAAGCAGCAACTCATCCATCACTTTCAATTTATAGATGACGAAAAAGCAAGACCCAGCTAAAGGTGAGGCCCACACAGAATCTGAGGTACGTAACTCCCACACTGTCCAATGCACTAGTGGCTACTCAGTGTCATATCTTAGACTGGCCTGTTAGGGGCCAGCTTTGTTCTCAGTGACCGCTGAAGTGGCCACAGAAGATTCCGGATAGCTGGTGGGACAGGACCAATTCTTCCCTGCTCTGCTATCTACACAGGAGAGGCCTAGACTGGCCTGGTAGGGGCCAGCTTTGTTCTCAGTGACCGCTGAAGTGGCCACAGAAGGTTCCGGATAGCTGGTGGGACAGGACCAATTCTTCCCTGCTCTGCTATCTACACAGGAGAGGCTGCCATTTGCCTCCGATCTTCCCTTAACCTTGTTAGAATCAGCAGACCCATCTTCAGTCTAAGTCTGTCCTCCTGGGTCAGGAGATCCACGGGCCCTGACCCAGCAGACTGATGGGAACACCTGTCGGACAGCTCTACCTCCGGCCCCCACATGCCCCTCCTCCCAGGCCCCAGCCAGAACAAACCAGGCGAAACAAGGCTGGTCCACCATGGAGAAAGGGCAGAAAACCTAATCGGAAATAGGGAGGCATTCCTAGTCCTTCTGGAGCAAAGATGCTTTTGAGAATGTGATAAAAATGGAGGATCCACCCCAGAAAAATGGACTTGTACTCTTCACGCCATGTTGCAAGCCACTTTAAGATACAGTCTGTAGGCTCTTAAGTTTAGAATTCCTGCCTTCTAGGATGTCTCCTGGGAACTGGAGAGTGAGAGAAGAGCAAAAGGCACCAGACATTGGAAACTTCTGCTTATTACAAAAATGTTCCATTCACCCTCTCCCACCCTGCTTTTTGTAGTCCAACTTTGGCCCGTGGGAAAGAGCTAAAGGCTAGCACAGTGGGGCTCCCCACCCCAGACAGGACACCAGGCTGCTGCGGGCAGACAAGAAGTGCAGGGGAGTAGAAGCAGCAGAGAACGAGCTCCCTCCCTCGCACCCTGCTGCCCCGCCTCCCCCACAAGCACCCTGGTGCCTTGTGCTTCCTGAGCCTGGAGGACAAACGACTGAGTGTGGAAGGGACAACCCCATGTCCCCGTGTCCCTGCCTCCCCGAGACACCCCAGCCGGGCCCCAGGAAAGAGGCCACACACAGGTCAGTTGGTCAGCAGTGGTTATTGCACCATGGGCAAATAATGAAATGTGTGTACATTAGCGACAACCACAGGGTCAGCAAGGCAACCCTAAAAAGTACCTGAACTCGGTCCATCGCATTCTTCCTGGGAGGGGAACAACAGGAGGACACATACTCACACGCACGCGCACACACACACACACACACACACACCACAGAATGGAAAGCAATAAATTATCAGCCTTGTTCCTGCCTGGAGCCTAAGAAAAGGCACAGTTCAAGAGCAAAGCCTCCCCAGGCCACTCCACGCGTCTCCCGGGGTGGGCCACTCAGTCTGGCAGTGGCCACCCAGTGCTGGAGGCCTGAGCAGTGCTTGCTCGAATGGAAAGCAATAAATTATCAGCCTTATTCCTGCCTGGAGCCTAAGAAAAGGCACAGTTCAAGAGCAAAGCCTCCCCAGGCCACTCCACGCGTCTCCTGGGGTGGGCCACTCAGTCTGGCAGTGGCCACCCAGTGCTGGAGGCCTGAGCAGTGCTTGCTCCCCCTGGGAAGAGGTGAGCTTAAATATTTGGCTTCTTACCAGAAAAGAACTATTTACAAGGAAAGTGGCCACACTGGCCTCAGAGGAGAAGAGGGGCTCATCTGGGCCTACATAAAATTGTCACAAGCCCCAGGGGAGTGCCAGCACATGACACAGGCAGGTGAGTCCACCTGCACAGTGGAGCATTCTTCCAGGAGAGTGGGAGTGGCCTTCCTGAGGGCCTCGGGCAAAGGGTCACATGAGCCCAAGTTTTGGGGAGCTAGGCCGGGCTCCTCCTCATCCCCCAACATGGCTCATCCTTCCCCCAGGAGGCAGAGTCAACCTATAGAGTTCAAGGTCTGGAACCTGTCCCTCAGGTTTCTCACTCTGCCCTGCTGGCTCAGGTCTGCTGGGTCCTTGGGACCCTCTTCCTTCAGCCGAAATTCTGAAGACTCCTGGGAATCTTGGCTTTGCCCAGCCAGGGCCTCCTGCAAGCCTGGTCCCTGCCCACTGCCCTTCTCCTCCAGCCCCACTGTGGGGCCTGGCAGAGGCCTCTTCTCCATGATGATCACCCGCCGGTCATCCTCCAGGGTGAGGTCTGCAGTGACATACAGGGTCTCGCCTCCGACCAGCCCGCTTTGGGGCAGCGACCCGGGAGGCTGGGGCTGTGCAGCCTCTCTGCCTCCCTGGCCCCTTTTGGTGCTCAGGCTGCAGCAGCGGCTCACCCTGCCTGAAAGAGGAGGCTCCACCATGTTCTCAGGCACCGAGCGGCTCCGATTGACAGGTGGGCCACGGGGCCGGCTGGCCTTGGCCGGCAGCACCTCATCCTGGGAGGCGTACTTGGAGCAGAGCTCCCGGACGTCAGGCCAGTTGAAGGTCTCAGTGTCAAGGGGGCTGAGCGGACTTCGGGTGCGGGACCGGGCCCCAGGCGAGGTGGTCCTCGGGCTGGTAGCAGAAGGGCTAAAGGAGAAACGCCGTGGCGAGATGTCCCCAGCTGAGGAGAGCTTATGGGGGCTGTGCTCCTGGACCATCAGCTGCTCATAGGTGAGGAGGGACAGCACTGGCTTTCTCCTGCCTGCGAGGAGAGAGAGCAGCCTGAACCACTGGGCGGGATGGAGGGCCGGGAGGCGAGGGCACCGGGCCATCTTCACTTACTTTCCAGGCAAGGCTGGTTGTTGGGGTTTGGAGTGTGAGAGATGAGGTCTCAGTGACCCTCTACAGCCCTTTATCGAAGGGCAATGAAAAGAAGGAAGGAAAGGCTGTGGAAAGGGGGTCAGGAGTCAAAGGGAGAGATGGGAGCTTCTGTTCTCATCCCGGTAGAGCTGGGGCCCGTGCCTTGTTTCCCCCAGTGGTCTCTGCTCCATAGGAAGGGCTGGGGGGAGGGTATTGAAAGGGCTCAACCAGGTGTGCAGCTTGACCCACACCCTAGGTGCTTGGGGTCCAGCCCCTCTCTTTGGAAGAGGCTCTTTAAAGGTCACTTCTGCCCCTAGACTCCCTGAGCCCACGCCCACCCCCATCATACCTTTGCCACTTGGTGGCTCTCCAGCCTCCTGTAGGCAGGGAGTGGTAAGGCTCTTCCGGTCCCTCTCGGGAGCCTCCTTTTCCCACTGCAGTGGTGGCCTGGCCATCCCCGACTTGTTGCTCTTGATGCGGAGGCTGTATTGGCGGGCCAGCTGGTAGACCCTGTTCTTGACGCGCTCACTCACATGGCTGTCCATCACGTGGGAGAGCTGCACGATGCGGGGGTGCAGCGGGGCCACCAGCTCCCCCTGGGCACCGCTGCTCAGCTCCTTTACCAGCTCTTTCAGCTCCCGGGCCAGGTGGGCTGGGCTGGGCCGCTCGGTGGGGGAGGCGCTTTCTGGGGAGGCGGTGGCCGACTCCTCTGTGATGGCCCCCAGCTCGTGATCCTCCAGGATGAAGAGTGGCTCATGCAGGTCAAAGCCATTGGCCTGGCCTTGACCTGGCCCCTTCCGAGGGCTTCCCCCAGAAGACTCCATTCCCTCCCAGATCTTCACAATTTCCGAAGAAGGGCGGAACTCAGCATCTGTGATGGGAGCTGGGTCCCCTGGGTCTGCCTGGCGTGGTCCTGGGAGGTCAAACAGGGCCCACGAAGCTGGCCGGGAGCCCACCTGTCTCTTGTGCTCCACTGGAGCCTTCGGCTCCGGGTCTGGCCTGGGCAGGCTGTTGAACCTGGAGACCGAGTTTCTCACCAGTCCCTTGGGGATGTAGGAGAGGCTCTCCCGGCGCCGGACACTAAAGCCTGCATCATGGTGTTCTGCGTTTTCATAGTAGCTCTTAATTTTGTCCAGTAACTGCCGGTCTCGGGTGGAGAGCAGAGATTCCTTCTTCTTGCAGGAAGACCTGTTGGGCTCCACCAGGCAGCCTGGGCTTGGGGGCTCTGTCCCATTAACAGAAGGGCCACTCTCTGTGGCCACCCCCATGCTGATGTCCACTTCTGGGGGGAGCTGAATGCTGAGGGAGTCTGTGGTGCTGCCGGGCCAGGCTGGGCCTTTCTCACTGCCCTCCAGGCTGAGCACACTACTACTCCGACTGACCCGCAGCGGGGTCCCAAAGCCACCGGACTTGCCATCCTCCAGTGCCAAGCTGCTCCGCCGAGAGAAGCTGCTGACGAACCGTTCAGCAATGACGCTGGCCTGGTCCAGCACAGAGGGGGGCAGGAGGCTCTCAGGCTCCGGGACAGCCCCCATTTCCTCTTCCTCCTCACTGCTCAGGGCCTTAAGGTCCTCAGTGCTCTCAGCCACCACAAAGTCCACCATCTCACCTGGGTGGTCCATCCCCAGCAGCCCCTGGTGGGCATCCATCTGTGTTTCCAAGACTTTTGGAGACTTTGTGTCTGAAGGCATCTCCTCGGTGCTAGGACCTTCCACAGCAGCGAATACTTCCTGCTCAGTCCCCAGCTCAGGGTCTGCCTCAACCTGGAACACAGCAGAAAGCTCACATGAATAAAAAAGGTCCTTCATGAGACCTGGGGAATGTGGGGGCAGGATGGCCTGCCCCAGCTCAGGGTCTGCCTCAACCTGGAACACAGCAGAGAGCTCACATGAATAAAAAAGGTCCTTCATGAGACCTGGGGAATGTGGGGGCAGGATGGCCTGCTTAAAGCCCAGTGACAGAAGCCTGCAGCTTAGGACTGAAGCCAATCAGAATGGGCACAAACTCAAAATTAGGGCTACAGGTTCTTAGGGAGAGAGACGTGATCATGTCCTTTAGTTACCCTGCAGCTGGGGTGCTGGGCTCAATCCTCAAACCCAAAGAAAAGGCTACGAACACAGATGGGGTAGGGTGGTGACACCTCTTAGTGTCAGCCTGTCAGCAAACTATAGGGACAAGTTGAGAACATACAACACTAGGTCAGGCATCCCGCCGGGCCACGGCACCAGGACTGCCCTGCCCAATAGTGAGGCAGCTCCCTAAAGCCTAGAGGCTCCCCACTCAGGGATACTGGGGTTTAAAGCCAGGCCTGAGTGACATGAGAAGCCATTCCAACTTCCCCGAGAGGCCAAGGCCTCTTTTGTGGACCTGGGTCCAGAGGGCAAAACAGCCACATGCTGTAATCCCGTCAGAGGGTGAGGACCGGGAACTTTGCTCCTGCCAGCCAGCCTTAGCACCTGTGTGCCAAGCATGACTGCATCTGCCCAGCAGATGGACAAGGAAGGAAACACATGTGAGAATTCCCTCTTGACCACCCTGAGGGTAATTTGAACCACAAAACTGGCTGGCACAGGCAGATTTACAGAGAGGTCTTTAGAGAAAAGAGAAGAGCAAACACTTTAAATCCCGAGGAATCAGACCTGATTCCAATTTTTCTATCCAAAATCTGCAGTACAGAACCTACGATCTATACCTGCTGTGTCCAACCCAGGGGCCACCAGCCACTCATGGTTGTCTGAGCACCTGAAATGTGGCTAGTCCAAATCAACACCTGCTGCAAAGACTTTGCATTAAAAAAGGGTAAAACACGTCTATAACTTTTAAAATTGACTACATGTTAAAATGATGATATTTTGGATATATTGGGTTAAATAAAGTACACTAGTAAAATTAACTTCATCTGTTTCTTTTTAATTTTTTAACATGGTGACCAGAAAACTTAAATTACGCACATGGCTCCCATTCTATCGTTATTGGACAGCATCACTTGCAATGGTCTGAATGTTGGTGTCCCTGCAAAATTCATATGCTGGAATCTAATACCCAGTGACTAAGAGGTGTGGACTTAGGGAAGTGATGAAGCCATGAGGACTCCACCCTCACGAATGGAATTAGTGCCCTTACAAAAGAGGCTCTAGGGACTTTCTTGCTCCTTTTGCTTTTCAACACAGCAAGGAGGAGCCATCTATGAAGCAGAGAGTGAGCCCTCACCAGATACTCAACCTGCTGGTGCCCCGATCCTGGACTTCCCAGCCTCTAGAACAGTCAGCAATAAATTTCTGTTGTTTATAAACTACCCAGTCTAAGGAATATTGCTATAGCAGCCTGAGCTGACCAAGACACCACACTACGTTCCTATCCAGTGTCATCCAGGCTTCTCAGTCTTATCCCAGCTGTGAGGCCCAACCTGGGATCTAGCCTTAGTTCATGATCTTTTCCTTGTATCCTTGTGAATGCACATGTCCCAGCTCCTCACAACCCATAGACAGCACGGGGTAACAGGAAGAGGAGACCCAGGTGTGATCTGAGCTCTGCTGCTCAGAAGCTGCCCAGTCAGTGTCAGTCACGCCATTCAACTCTCA